GGGAATGGGTGGGTTGATGGGGGGAGTGGGTGGGTTGATGGGGGAATGGGTGGGTAGGGGTGAATAACGCATGTTCAATCTGCCCCAAGTTTATCCATTACACCTTGCCCACGGGTGAATCCACTGAAGGAGCCATGCTCCCCTCCTTCCCTCCATAGTACATTGCTGTTTTTTATGAGAAAAGGGGAATTTCAGGTATTTGTTACTTCCTTTTGTCCCAAAAGCATTTAAAATGCCCCAAAATTCAGCCTCACCCTTCTTTTGGGCTATGAGAGGTTAAATAAAGCAATTTCCTTGTTTATTGGCTTAAAAAAACAATTCAGCCCATCCCCCCCCCAAAAAAAATGCCGAATGCTTTATGCTGAATCCACCAACACACACGCACAAAACATTACACATACCTGGCAGACAGCCACCAGAAGGTGAGGTCTCGTGAGGGCCGGTACAGTAGTGACCCCCATCGCAAGCCAGGCACTCTGTCACGTTGGTCAGACTTTCCACTGGGCTGTAGGTACCGGCTGGACATGGCTGCCAGTCGGCTCCAGTTCCTGTTTACGAGGACGACAAAAAATAAACAACAGTTTGTAGACTTGTCTTTCCAAGTGGCAGAGGTAAGCGGTGTCTACCAATGGCTGGTAAACTAGAAAAGGCCGTCGGTGCAAAGTGCTCAAGAGCATAAAAATATCTGCTGCAACAATCAAAATTCCTATTAAGGAAGTACCTCGCTTTTCAACAGTAATGGGGCAACAGTGTCTTTTTGAGGCATAAGCTAAGCTTGGAGGTTGACAAATGACTCCCTAGTTCCTTCTACTTCTATTTGGGAACAAGTTTGTCGTCTTCCAGTCTCTCGGGGGCTCACCTCAAGAAGTTTATCGACTTCCAATAACTCTGAGCAATAATATTGGCTGTCTATTTTGAGAAGTCATGCCCTATTTTTATATTGTCAGCTACCATCAACTATGGACACCTTCCCTCTAAGTACCTTTTTTGGGTTCCCTCAGTATCCACATCCAATACCATGAGTTTCTCCTGTACAATGTCAATGAACACTCTCTGCAACTCTCTGCAACTACATTTATGAAATGGTACCTTCATTCAGACTTAACCGTGCTACATGCAAAACTCACGCCGTCAGGCATGTGCACTGTATTGCCTCGCCACAGGTCATAGGGTCATTCAAACCTCGGTTTCTAGTTCACGCACAGATTCCATCTAAGATACCACCAGCCTTACCGTAGGGGCAGTAGTAACCAGCTGGGCAGGGCCGGTAGGCCAATGAGGCACTGGCGGGCGTGACTGGTAAGCAGTAGTAGCCCTCGGGGCAAACACTACACTCCGACGCTCCCTCGTAGTCGGTGAAGGTCCCCGGCTGGCACTGCTGGTAGATGGCACTGCCATTGGGGCAGTGGACGCCGGCGGGGCAGAGGTAGGGGGTCGGGTTGGGTACGCTGTCCCCTCCTGGACAGTAATAGCCTCCAGAGCACTCGTCCACGACAGCCGTCATGCCGCTGGTCGGGCAGTAGAACCCAGCTGCAAAAACCAAGGAAGAAAGCGAAAATCCCTAATGCCGTATGCTTTGTATCATTAGTCTGTGTCTTGGGGGTATTGTAAAAGAAAAAAATATCTGCTTAACAACTTTTAAACAATTTGCAGAAGTCAATGCGGCGGGGGGGGGGGCAAGTCACACGCAATGGACCTCAATTGACATTTGCCACTGGTATCCTGTTAGATTTGGTCTTGGGGAACCCAGGCCGTGTTCATAATCATGGCTTTATCTCGCCTCTGGCTCTACAATTCCTAATCAAGTGTCTGCTACTAGAGTCACATGAAAATAACCCCACAATGGCCCTCCATGTGGATAATTTGATAACTTTCTAGCAACAAATGGACCTTCTGTGAATCCCACTAAGCCACTTTAAAACTGAGGCCCAGACTTACAGATCAAGCCTAGATTTAGAAAGCCCTCTGTGAGCCATGCAATGCTTGAGAATGCTCCCTTCATTACAGCATGCACAAACGAGGGGCAGGTACTGAAACTACTTGGCTGGGTTTGTAATTATAGATTTTTGGGTAACGGGGTTCGAATCCACAAGCAGGTCACATGTTGTGAGCTTGGGCAAGTCATTCTACTCCTAATGGCCACTCTCCACCCAGGAGTATAAATGGGTACCTAAGTGAGCTGAGATGGTTCCCTGCAGGCCTACTGTAATGACTGTGGTGCAGTGGGCCTGTTTGTTTCACACGGATCTGGATCTGGATCAGTGATCCTAACGCTGGTTGCCACCATCCACTATGTGGGTTTTGGTGTTCGTAAACCAACGACGGATCGCTGATCGTGATCCAGATCCATGTGAAACACAAATGGCAAGGTTGTTGACAATGGACATACGGTAGCCATAGGAAATAAAAGGAGACTGAGACTGTTTGAAATTTGCTACTTTGTCTATAATTACTTTTATTACTATAAATTTATCGATGCTCACCAGTGCAGTTGTAGCATTCTGACTCGGTTGCCAGTGACTGAACGTCTGACCAAGTGCCAGGTGGGCAAGGCTCTGGCACGTCGGTACCCTGCTCGCAGTAGTGACCTTCTGGGCATGGCTGGTACTTAGCATTGTTGGCACCCAGCTCACAGTAATAACCTGAGGAAAATGGAGGGATGTAGAGATGAAGACACAGGCAGGGCTATAAGGGACGATACCTTGACCAATCGCAAATTTTGGTAAGCTTTGATAGTCAAGATGTCAAGTTTGTCAATTCATTTATCAGGTTTCCACATACTAAATGTGACTCAGCGTACTGAGCCAAAGTACATGTAGATATACCTTGGGCCCTATTTCACAGAGCTAGGCAGCTGGAAAATCATGCTAACTTAAGCATAAAATTTGCTCAACCTTAAGCACCATTTCTTGGTGGTGCTTGGCTTGGTTGTGCACACACAGAGAGATCTCTATTGTTACGTCACCAAGTTTAAGCAAATTTATTTTCAAAGTTAACATACCTTTGGCTGTGCTTACTGCTTACGGCCTCTATGAAATACATGGAGCCTCTGTTAGCATGAATTTGTGTGCTAAGCAGCGCCGTGAAATTGGTCCCAGATGACTATAGTATCATGTCAGTAAAGTAACTTGATGAAGTTACTTTTCACCCTGTCGTTGTGATTTAATTGGGCTGGTTCCCAGTCAATCAAGACCTTGAAAACTCATAATTGTTTAACTGGTGAACAGCACGCGGTCGTACCTTGCTTACATGTTATCTCATTTGCATCTTATCACACGTACCAGTACTGCACACGCATTGCCACAGCGGTGAGACACGTGACATTCCAAAATGCTGATGCTAGATCTGAAAAACATGATCTTGATTTCGGACCCCAAAAAATTTGATTTGGTGATCTGAATTAATTTTGCTCATTAACCCTCCTATGCTGAAGTCACTCTTTTGGATCACTTGGTAAACACCTCAAAGAAGCACAGCTGTGTTGTGTTGTGCACTGCATTAACCCTCCGATGCTGAACTCACTCTTTGGGTCATTTGGTAAACACCTCAAAGACGCACAGCTGTGTCGTGTTGTGCACTGCACCAACAGTGCCTCAGAGGAATATTAGATTGCACTTTTGTGCTGCCCAACAACTGTGCTTCACTGTTTCATGTGCATAATTGTGCAGTAAACCAAATGCAGTGAAGAAGACTGCACAAAAGACCCTGGGTCATTTTGTGCTGGCAACCAACTGTGTACTCACTGAACCTGTGCATGTTTGGGTTCCATATAGAAAGCACATGCAAAAGAGTGACTGTGGGCACTTTTGCATATTTGTGCTGTAAAATCAAAGGAGGGTTAATATATGCAAAATAATTTTAATTCTGCTTTTTTCTCATCTTGATACAAATAGTACTATTGGATAGCTTCTTATTTTGGGGGAAGAGGAATATATTGCACTCTACATTATATTGCACTTGTCTTCAACTATTGCTCATGCGATATGTTCTTGTACCCTTCTGACAGCCATCTCATGAGTATATAGTCATTCGTAAAATTACTGACCTGGATCACAGAGATCTCCTGGGCTGGTCATATTGTAGTCTGGGCAATAGCGCTTAGCGTCGCAGCTCACGCACTGGTCCAGGGAGACACGTCGCGTGAAAGGGTTGTACGTGCCTGGTGGGCACGCCTCAGGCGTGGCCGTTCCATTACCGCAGTAGAAGCCAGCAGGGCATTCGTTGGCATTGCTGCCGATGGTGGGCGTGGGCGTGTCTGAGCCGCTTGTGCAGAAATACCCTGACGGGGTGAAAGGTCAATTTTTGGCATCAATTTCTGTCCAAAATTTACAAGTTGGAATAGTTATGTAATTTTTCACCCTGTTCCCTCCAGCACTTTCAAGAAGATTCCAAGGTGAATAATTTCTAAAGTGTGACAACCCAAGACCAAGTAGAATGGGTTTCAAAAAAGGACTGACAGTTATAAAACACAGCACATAACTGAAAAATCTTTACGTCAGCTGTTGACTGTTAAAAACTTTTTTCACCCACAACTTTCTTCAAGCCAGACCAGTGCTGTAGTGAAGTCACATGTCCTTTCACAAGTCCGGTACAGACATAAGTCCCAGGGTGAACAGCGAAAAGACAAGCTTTCGTCACACTTCACTTGAACAACTTGAGACTTGGCTTACAAAGAAGGGAACAACATATGGACTCAAGAGGGATTGGTGTGTCTAGTTCAATGGTGAGGGAGCAAACTACACCAAAATTGACCGGGGCTTTCAATCAAGTCAGTGGGAATGATGACCAAAGACAGCAGAGCCTGTTGCTCAAAGGGAAGAATTAAAAACACCTGTGCAATGTAAGGAGAGAGAATGGTGCCACCTTCAGATTTGGCGACCAATATGGCTCTTCATTATATGTGCAAGTACAGCTTGCAGCTATTGTGTGTTAATTGTCCATGAGCATCAACGCTCTATGAACAGCTCTGCCCTCACCAAGGCCTGGCTAAGCCAGCCCGCTGGGTCCAGTTTCTGCACTTGTGGTCTTCCTGAGGGGCCGAGGCTAAATTTAGGGGCTTCTGTCACACTCTTTGAGAGGCAGGGAAGTGAATTAGGCTCAATATATATCAGAGTTTTCAGAACAAAATCTTTTTTTCCACATGGGGATGGGGCATGGCCCCCTCAGCCCAAACCCTGGTTCCACCGACGCAGAGCCGGACTAACACTGCTCATGAACAAAATCTGGGAATTCACAGGCAAGAAATGGCATGAATGGATTTGATGACAACGCCTACCTGCGTAGCAGTCACTGGTGGGTTGCGACAGCCCGTCCGTCTCGCAGTACTTGCCCGCCGAACACGGCTGGCAGTCACTGACCTCCACGCGGTGGGTCAGGTTGTTGAAGGTGCCATTGGGGCAGGCGTACTGGGTGGCATACCTGGTGCTCATGGGACAGTAAAAACCTGAGAGAGGCAAACACAGAGATGAATGATGAAGTCACCATTTGATTCTGTAATCTTACCTTTGGGCATTTATCATCAAATGTCCATCGTTCTCTTACACTGCTTTTCCTAACCAGTTCAATATTTGGCAGAAAAGTTCACACACAAGAAGTACTTGACTACGAGATAGGTTAAAGCTGGAGGCAATGCCGTCACAATACTATGACACGTGCTAAACGCCAACAGAAATGACCGGAACTTCATTCCGTTTGATCAAAGATATTAAGACTTTTTAGAGCTGAGGTTTGGAATAAACAACAGTTACTGCAGCTCTGTTAATGCACTAAAAAGCAGCTGGAGGTATCTCTGTGACCTATGACATCACCCAGTACAAAAGTATGGAGTGCATTGAATACAATATTCCACAGTGTCTCTTTGTTCCTATATTTATCCATTTCTCTATCTGTTGTTTTTCCGATCAGTCTCTCAGAAAATAATGGAGTTGTCTTTACCTGTGGGGCAGTAGGAGTTATTGTAGAGCACCACAGGCTGAATGGTGTTGTCACAGAAGTAGCCTTCAGGACAATCTTTGCAGCTGGACTGGCCAATCTCATCCTGGTATGTCCCGGACTCGCAGCGGACTGGCTCGATGGAACCAGCGAGACAGAAGTGACCTGAAAGCAATCAAGCAAGAACTTAAGGCCAAGTAAAAGAAAAATTTACTGTCCCCGGTAAACACCTCTTTTGAAGCCACAAACTTTATTGCAGGATTTTTTTCTCACCTAAAACTCATTATTTCACGAATATTAACTTGGTACTTTAATACAAATGCTGAGAACATGGTTAACAAGAATATTCTTACTCTACCTATTAGTAGAATAGTTAAAATTCTGGCAGCCATTTTGGACTGAAAAGTTGGTGGCTGTTTTGAATTTAAATACTTAGTGCCAATCTTTGCAAAAAAAATACAAAATCATCCTCATTTGGAAAATCCTAGACAATCAACTCTGCAGGGCAAGCTCGAGTTCAAGTAATTTTGATGCAGTCCTGTGGACACTCCACGGTCCCTCACCTTGAGTGCAGTTATAACCATCTGGCGTTGGCTCTTCCTGTCCCGGAGGGCAGTAGTATCCCGCCCAGCACTCGTCAGTGGGTACGGGATTCCCCCGGCCGGCACAGTAATAGCCAGCATCGCAGGCCAGGCAAGCACTGCTGTCGTTGTTATGGGTGCTGTTGAGGTACGTGCCTGAGTCGCAGAGCTCAGGGGAGCTGCTACCCAGAGGGCAAAAGGCCCCCTTGGGACAGAGGTTTCCTGCGAGGCACATGCAAATTAACAGATTGCTTTAGAAAACACTGCTACTTACTCGAGCACATTTTACCAGCAAGTCAATGTGCCAATCTTACATATACGTTTTTCTTGCACATTAATGCTTTGAAAGTGATGATCTACATGTAGATTTGACCTCTACAAAATCTATTATGTCCTCTGAATACTAAACCAAACATTTCTCCTTTACACCACAATGACTGAGCTTACTACGGGTGATTTTGCATACAAAATTGTATTTACACCTGTTATATTTTACGGCAAGAAAGTTCCTAATTCATACCAGCTCGATATCCACAACTTCTTTTAAAAAACTAAGACCTATGAACCCACAAAAATATTTTGTTTCACCTACATGTATTTACCCAGGAGTTACCTTTTCTCATGCCCCATCCCTCACATTATCTTATCCATGATCTGGTAGTGGGGAGCTGCCATCAGTAGGATTCAAAGCAATAGATCATTTGGTACAAAACAGATTTTCAACATTGTTTTTTGTCTTTAACTGTGAAAAAAAGGCGTACTTTCCATTATGAAATAGCCATTGCTGCAAGGTATTGGGTAGTACAAGGAAGAAAATCTTGGTAACTGGCTGTTGTTTTCATTCGGGTACTCTGGTCCCCGTCACAGCCCACTGTGATCCAAACGCTACCCAAATTCAAGACACATCACACTGAAAAATTGACTGGGTTAAATATTTCACCCAAACTAGAGTGAAACCTGGCGCTACCTCAAACTGGGTTGTGTCACCACAATTTGGGGGGTCAGAATTAATTTCTGACACATTTGAACCAAAATAAGAAATGGATTACAGGGAAGCTGAAAGTACTTAATGAAAAGCTGGGTCATAAAAACAACAGTTTGGGGGATTTTGCAGTTTTACCTTTACCCAGGCCAAAATTGAACCAGGCAAGTTTTCTTAGGAGTAGGCTGAAAGCAGATTTGTAATAAACAAAAGCTCCATTTAAAACAACAAAAATTCATGTACCTGTTTCTCCATCTTCGGGATTAGGTTCAACTGCCCTGAGCGTGCAGTAATACCCGGGGTCGCACATCCCAGATGTCTGGTTCAATCCATTCCCGGCGCAGTACTCGCCCCCGGGGCAGGGAACGGCATACGATGCCCCGGCTGGGCAGTAGTAACCAGCCATGCACATGTCACCTCCATCTCCAGAGGGGGTGGCCGTGGAAGAGCCCCCACTGCAGTAGAAGCCACCCTGGCAGATTCCCGTTGGGTTGGGCAGGCCCCTACTGGCACAATACGAGCCACCTGCAGGAGCGACACAAGTCAACAACAGTCACGGTCTACCGTACATACAGGTTTTCTTCCACTGACTATCACATTTACTGCAGGGCCATCCAGTTCACACGCAAGTGCCACGCGCATTCCTCTCTGGCAAGTCGGGTGTGGTGACTTGCCAAAAACGCACATGTGCACTTACGTACATGTATAAAGCAACTGTACATACATGTATACTGCAAACTTGATACTGGGACTCACTTTCACCTATGACTTTGAAATTATTGTTCAAGTGGCAAAGCGGTCACCGCTTGTGCCACTTAACAATTGTTGACTACTGTGATATGGGATATGATGTTTTGAACACCCAAGGGATGCATAGCATGTTGAGGCTGAGGCTTTTATCCAAAGAAACGACCTCTGAATTTCAGAAGTTCAGAAGACGATGGGCCTAAGGTCAAACTGTATAATTATAAAGTATAATTAACATAACAGACGTAAATGATATCATCTGCAAATGCACTGTTCCCTAACTGTGGGTACCAGTGAGTACAAGTTCACATGTCATGTATTCTGTGAGGATGGGAACGAGTCTGTTATACAATCGCGACCAGTAATCACATTCACTACGCACAAAACGTATTATGGGTACCACGCAAAATTGACTACATGAGTGACAACGGTTGCTCTCAAATTTCCTTAAGTTCTTTTGTTTCATGGGCATGCACGTGCTATCGGAAGAAGATGTCTCACGGTGAGTGTGATATGTGGATATATCGTCCTGTCATGTGATCGTTCTGGACCAATGAACAAACAGTATCCAAGACAGCGGTATGAAAAGTATGGCTGTCATCAGAATTTGATCTAATCAGAAACTTGGTGCTAGCTCAGCCTTTGCCTTACATTTGGGCCATTAATAAAGCTTCCCAGGCTTACCTACCATGTGTCAATGCTGCACTCTGCCTACAACAACTGTAGATGCATGTCGGGTCAGTTGGGTCGATGAGAGTGCCCAACGGGACTTTGAACTTTTTAGAGTTTAACTCCTAACTTTCAATACTCTAGCATCTGACTGATCTGAATGAAAGAATATGTTTGATCTTGTTCCCTGAATCTATGGGATGGTTTGGGGTTCCAGACCTCACTTTCATTTTTTTAACGAGGTTTATAAACATGTAGATACAATTTATCACAACTTCTAAATCATTCTTTAAAAAGTGGGATGAATGTGTATTGAAGTTTTATTTCAGCACAGTCATTACAACTCTCAGGTTCTCTAAAAGAACAGTTTTACTTCAATTTCAGTTCAAGATGGCCGACACATAAATACAGTCAATTCTGTTATTTCAAATTGAATTTCACCTGTGCAGGGAGTGCAGGCACTGTCATTGGTGCTCTTGGTCAGGTTGTTGAACGTCCCGATGGGGCAAGAATACTGGGTGTCCGACTCTGTCCCCTCTGGGCAGTAGTGACCGGCTGGGCATGGCTTGTCTTCATACGCAGATGACCCTTCCGGACAGTAGTAGCCTGTAAAGCAAAATGACCGCTATTAAGTTGTAAGCATTCATAAACAGAATTTGACAGTTGCAAATCTTGATCTCCCAAGTTCATTATAACGCTGAATAACACTTTCACTTGGTTTGGTCTTGGATCAAGGGGTTTCAAATATGAGATTTCAGATGCTGCCACATGGAAAACACCTGACTTGTGACCCAATTTCTCGGCCAAAACTCCTCAGACAATATGATCAAGAGCCAATACAATAAGCCTTTGGTGAGTTAGCTTTGATCCAAATCTGGTACACTGAGTTTTTTAAATTCACATGAATTTAAATTCACTTGAATCCTCCATACTAAAACCACTGTTGCTATACCTCGTGATTCTGGGCAAGCTTTTGCTTAGTTACATAAGAGACGCCTTGCAAAAATACACTGTTCTTAATGGATAAGAAGGGCACAAAGGAAGCACTCCATTCCAGAGATGGGGGTCGCTATGCGAAAGCAAGGTATAGCAACAGTGTCTTTAGTCTGGGGAATTCAAATCGTTGTGTTTATGTGCTATCAGATAACTCAGTGTACCAGACTGTATTCGAATTTAACTCGTAAGTGGCTCATTTGCACTAATCCCACACCACTCAGCTTTGTTGGTAAGCGCAGCAGTATTACAGCTGGCAGTAAACAACTGAACTATGATACATGTACTCTCTGTTTTTTGAGGGGCCTGTTATGTTTTCAGTAATTATCATCAATAGAGGGCGCTATTTGGTACAGCCAGTGAGTCCCGAACCTAGATATATTGAGAGCAACTTCTTTTGCATGTCCATGCTCGGGTGAGCTCTTCCCACACAGACACATTCAGGTGACATTTATGGAGTGTACCGAAAGTGTGCCCTTCATTGACTCCTGCGAGGCCAGAGAGTTTTACTGACTTCAGTTTCTCCTACCTGGCTCACAGGGTAGGCACGCCTCCATGCCTTCCGAGGGGGAGTATGTCCCTGCTGCACAGGGCTCAGGGTAGATGCTGCCTGCCTCGCAGTAATACCCCACGGGGCACTGACCACCGTAACCGCTCTGCCGGCTGTCATAGTACGAGCAAGACGTGGAGTTGTCCCCATCCGGCTCAGGCCGGTCCACCCCATAGACGCAGTAGTGGCCCGCCGAACATGGGTTGGTCACCGCCGTCAGGTGCTCACTGTCACAGTAGTGACCCGCTGTGCAGGGCTTACACTGGTCAATGTTGTACAGGCCGTTCTGGTCGCTGTAGGTACCCCTTGGGCAAGCTTGCCAATTCACTCCTGGATATGAACGGAACATGTGCATCAGCATGAATTCTATGCACAGAAATTTTTTTTTTGGGGGGGGGGTAACTCTTCAGCCGGGTCCGTGATACACAGCCAATGCTTCTCCTGAAAGTGTATGCCTCGTCCAATTTTGCTTCACACTGAAAACTGCTCAGCAATGACTTTTAGGGCTGTGCCAAATATATGAAAATCTGAATATTCGATCAATTATCAAATATTTGAATATTATTTTCCAACTTTGAATATTCATGAAAAGAATTTACATGTAATTTGTTTAAAGTGAAAAATACTGAACTAGGGAGGCTTGTTAAAAGCAGATTCAAATGACAATTGACAGAAATCTTACGATTCAAAAGGTAAATTATTCATTAAAGGATTTACAATAGAAATTTTCAACAGGGCAAGAAGTATTGTTCATCTCTTAAATCTTGCTAGATCGTGGCTGGAGATACTCCTAGACATGAGGACCTATAATAATGTTACAATGTACATTATGTGCATTAGTGCAACTGATTTTGGATATGGTTTGTTCATCAACAATTTGCCAGTCAATATGACCGACTATTAGGATATTCAGTCAAAATAGAGGTCTTATATTTGGATAGTGAATTATTCGAATTGATTCAGCCCTAATGACTTGTGTTTTATTGAAACTTGGGCCATCATTCCTGCACGGAACCAACCGAGAAGGAAAGATTCATACCCCAAAGAGAAATATTCGATATCACTAACCGGTTCCCGTTGGGCAGTAGTAACCCTGCGGGCACAGCATCCGGACCCCAGGCTGCGGGCAGTAGTAGCCCTGGGGGCAGAGGTTGCAGGAGGAGGACTTGGTCTGGTTGGCCTCGGTGTAGTTGGGGCAGGGGATCGGGTAGGCCACGCCACCGGGACAGTAGTGGTCGATGAAGCACTCGTTGCCTACGGGCTCTCGGTCCACAGTGCCAGGCGGACAGAAGTAGCCTACAAAATTTGATGACATGAAAAATCTAGGCCTTGATAACAAGGTTCGGGACGACACATCTAAAGAACAGCAGAGGATACAGTCCACTCTATGTAAGTGCTTGGAAAAAAACAGAGTGTCAAAGTGAACATATGTCTGATACCTCTCGAGACAGATGGCCAAGTTGTAATAAGGACACAAATAAATTTCTCACGTCCATGTTGCCTTTGTCGATCATTATTAAGGAAATCCGTTCAGGCAGAATGCACAAAACTGCATTTCATTGATACAAAATGATCATAGAAAGATTAAAAATCGTTCGTATCTTAAATTCCATGCATTCCACATTGCTAGAAATTTGACACTTTAAAAAGAACTCTTGAATCCCCCTTCTGGTTAGACTCCACTCAGAATTAGAACCAAGCCTTCCAGAAAATGAGGCACCCTCCAAAATGCCCCCCAGTAAAAGGAACCCTAGTCTACACCATAGACACGTCTCAAGCCTTATCTTTCAGAGCCATGGCTGGGTGTGTTGTCACCATGTGCCCAAACATTAATAAAAGGCAAAGATCTAGACCTGTCAGGAGACACAAGATTTGGGATTGGCCCATTAGACTTAATTCCAGCAGTAACACACAGCTCTTGAACACTGCTTTTGCAAGCCTTGGCTAAACAGTGTTCTTTATACTTCACACCCACAGTCCAGATCACCTGAGTGGAAACCTCCCCCATAACCCCCCCTACCCCAGGCTCTGGGGTCTCCCTACCCTCTGCGCAGTCTCCAGTAGGCTCAGTCAGTCCCTCCGTCTCGCAGTATTTGCCACCAGAGCACGGATAGCATTCACTCTCCGCTGCCTTCATTGTCTCGTTGTTGAATGTTCCTAGAATCAGGAAGAAGAACCAGATTGTCACGATTGTCAATAAATCCAAGCCACCTTACGAAATTATTTCAGTAGTATGCAAGTGGGTAGAATATCACAAGATGTAGGCTTGCAGGTACACCATGGAATCAATCATGTTTGGAAGAGGTGTGGTTCTCAGAAGAACCGGTGATTGTTAAACTCAACGTTTCGGCTAGGATGTTCTGGTGTACCGACAAGCCTACATGGGTAATTCTAGAAATTAGGGGTCCAAAATTGTGACATATTTGCGTCCCTGTTACATCTGACCTTTGTAACTTGACATGGAAATATCACCGGAATTGTTTTCAAACTATTAATATTTGTTTGGCAGATAATTTGCATTAACTCATCAATCTTGGAAATTAGAAAATGTGCTCTGAACTTACAAAATCACATGTCAGAGGTAACAGGGACACACAAAAATGGACCCCCTAATTTCCGGAATTACCCACATCTCATGTAACTCCCATCATGCAAAGCTTCAAGGCATGCACAACACTGATGTCAATTACATAAGTGATAAGTTAACTATGTGTCTTGAATCCAACAAGATTCTTGTACACTTGTGGACATTCTCTTGTATTAAAATCCTAGTCACACACAACAATTGCTTTTGTCCCTATTTACACTTGGCATGGATTTGTCAGCACGGAAATACAGAAAATGTCAAGGGCATGACAGTTCCTTACATGCCTCATATTTGCTTCATGGTAAAAATGAATCAATCCAAAGCTTGATCAATGAGTTACACTGAAGAACAAATTTTCTATACATTGAATGGGAGTCTGCTGAGCTTACATGCAACCTGCCACCTCAAAATGAGCTGAAAGTCAGAGATTTCAAAAAATGAGATATTGGTATATTTGAATTCAGCAGAAAGAGAGCTTTCCAATAGCATGTACATGGAACACTTAGGGGAAAGTATAAAGTGATAATGTGACAATACTGTGGCAGATTTGCATCTTTCCTTCTAAAATCATTTTATCCTTTCTGACCAGGTACCAATAATTGATGCTATCATCAAAATTGCTGAAAAAATGAAATTTTTCAATATATGATCCTGCAAAAACTTTGGAAATAAATAGGTGAGGGGTCACTTTTTCCAAATATTACATGAACCAAAAATTAACTTCCACTTCAATATCTGACATCGAACCATCAAAATAGGACAGAGCGGAATGCGACTTTACTCTCATTGTGTCGTGACGGGTCACATATCATAATGATGCGTATGTTTCTTTTTTCAACCACAACTGTATCGCTCAGGTAATGTGCTTCCTTGTCCGTCACTGCAGAACCTCTCAACAAATAGGCACAACGACTACTGAAATTCCAACATACCTCGGGGACAGTCCACAGGATCAAAGGTCCCGTTGGTGCAGTATTTTCCCACTGGACACTCAATTTGGTCTTTGCGGCTGGATCCTTCGGGGCAGTAGTAGCCAGCTAGGCAAGGCCCGGCGGTTTCCGTCATGCCATAATCCGGACAGTACTCTCCTTCAATACAAAGGAGATATTACATAACAATAATGGGCTTGAGTCCCATCCGAGAAACTTCATCAAATTAAAGGTTGTTATCAGAAACAATTCAGTTTTGTAGCAATTTAAAATTCCTCCAACTACTTAGCGTTCCAACAGTGTTTCAATTAAAATTGCTTTTTACTGGATTGTTCTATTCAACATTCAGAGTACCAGTGACCTTTTAATTCGGGGATGCGTTGAAACAGCACAAGATAAATACTGTAAAGAACAGTTCATAAGGAATAAATCGAGACAGAATCAAAGACTGTAAGAAGCAATGGATGACTTAGATTTATTAGATATATTGATTTTGATTTATTTAGGTAAGTGGAGTCAGTGATTATTATTCCAGTCTCCGTTTTAAGTTTCAGACGTGCACATGAGTAAAATGATTCAAACAACAGAAAAGGACCAGAACCTTTACCGTGGCCAAGAATACGGCCGTTTCACAATAGTGTGCCACCAACAGTTTGCAGTGCAAATTTGTCAACCCATTGCACGTTTGGAAAGGGTCAACAAATTTTGTGTGTTATGATTGGCCAACGCGTTGCAAACTCTTGGTGGCGCACTATTGTTTATCGGCCACACTGCACTTTAATGAAAGCATCACTTGTCAATGAAGAAAAAGGTAAAATTGAAAGTGTAAATTTTTACTTGAAAGTTTATCAATAACATCTGAACCTCTGAGACAAATTTTTCTTCACGTACCCTTGGTGCAATTCATGCACTCGTCCTGACTCCTCAACTTGATGTCGTCCGAATAGGTTCCCGGTGGGCAGGGTACCGGTTCAGCAGTTCCCTCCATGCAGTAATAGCCGGCCGGACAGACGTTGGCATCTGTGGTGGAGTTAGGTGTGGAAACGGTTGCCCCGCTGCGACAGAAGTACCTGGAAGGTAAACGAATTACGAGTCTTTATACTGACCGTTGATATGTGAGCAGAGACATTTTGCTCAGCAACAATGCGTCAACTGTTAAGAATAACAATCTGCTCCTGAGCATGAGCATGTAAATCCAAAATGGCGAACAGTCCAATGTCAAAATTTAAATCCAACTTGGAACATCCAAATTTCAAAGCACACATCCCCATCTGAAATAGCAAGGTTAAAGTTTTACTAATTTTCAGAAATTAAAAAATCCACCTGGGTATGATTTTGCATTTGTGCATAGAGTACCAATGTGTGACGTCACTTGAACCAGAAAGTGCACTGCAAACGAATGGAATACGCGCTCGTGTTGGTTCACGCACTGCAATAATGCCTTTTGCACATGTTATTGTGCACGCAACATAGCCACTTTGATACTCTATAACAAACAAGACCCATCATGTATCAACCAAAAAGCAAATGTCATCTGGACCTACGAGCTAAAAGAAAAGTTGCTCAAGGAATAAATAATGCCCTTCTGGTGGTACACGAATAGAAACCATGGCTGAGTCTTAGAATCCAGCAACTTCCACTCACCCGGCCTCGCACAGTTTGGTGTAGTCAGTCTGGGCTTCTTCGTCGCAGTAGTAGCCGCCGGGGCAGGGGTTGCAGTCATCGGAGGAGTCCATTCCAGTGCGGTTGCCGAAGGTGCCGCGGGGACACTTGTGCTGGACAGCATATTGTGTGAGAGGCGGGCAGAAGTGTCCTGTGGGCCAAAATGGGCAAAATGAAGGACGTCTTGCACAGGGAAGTCGGGCAAACCCCTAGTTAAAAAATACGTGCTTCTAAAAATAACCAAATTAACTAGAGTAGTACAATAGAGCTATATCTGAAAACTGGAGTACTGATTTGTGCAAAGTGATACCTGCTGGGCGTAACCATGTTTGTGCACATACCTAAGAAAACTCCAAATTTTGTATGGCTATTTGTATATCTGTGTCTGCAATCTGAAACGATGCCTCAACAAAGCCAACAAACAAAAAACTTAAAAGCACAATTAGTAAAATGAGCAATGCATTTACTTTCTACTAGACGTGTGCAATCACCAGTGTTGTAGTCGAGACCAGGTAAAAGGCTAGTCACAAGTAACAGGGGGAACACTGACAAAGGAATGCTTTTATTGTAGTTCATTTGAGTTGCTTGTGACTTGAATTCAGACTGGAGGTCTTGTGACGGTCTTGTAATGGTCTTGGGACGGTCAAAGTCAACAAGCCAATACGCCAAGAACTAAAGCACAATTAATAAATGAGCATTTCAAATACTCTGCGCAAATAACGCAAATGCGTGTGAGTGTGCAATGCAGATAATTTTGCCATGCACGTTGTGATCTGATTTTATCGGTACCTGATGTGCCTTCTGTAACCCAAAATTCATTCATTCTGATTCTGATGTTCTACGAGCACGCGCGTGGATTCAACATACCTGCGCCCTGGATAGCGTCATGTTTTCTCCATGTGGAGAACGAGAAAGTTAATAGTACTGAGTTCATGCAGCTTGTTCTGGTATGTATACAAACAACTCAATTTGTTGTTTGTGAGTCAGCCGCTCCAACGCCGGGGACAAACAACCGGTTATTGCTGCTGGCAGTCAATGGCAAGCAACATGCAGTATGTACGTTATTCGAGAGTTAATATTTGGATGGGCTGAATTCTTTTCTATTTAAACAGGAACATGCAGTTCTGAAAAAAATTAATGTTAATTTTGCAAAACTTCCTATTGTCTGTGGCTTTGGATGCCATCTCTCTACTTTTTGCAGCTGTTCAAAAATCAAAATCTCATGAGTTTTTCCGTGTGTTCCCATGAAACCCCGACAAGGATGTGGTGTGTTATCCTGTTCCGAGAACAGTGTCCTTGAGTCGTGTTCCTGGCATTTGAACACGAGAACAAGAACAGGCCGCTCGAACTCAACCCTAGTGATTTAATGTAGCTCTTCGACTAGAGCCCACTTCAATGCCATACATTTAAAACAAGAGCACAGCATAAACAAATGGGTACCATTCTTCTCTTCATCTGTTTCCTTTGCAATCAAATGCTGTCTGGTCTGTCATATAGGAAAATATCCACACGAAGGTCTAGTCTCTATGTCTAGTCTCTAGTCTCTCTTCTATACCTTCTCTCACCGGTTAAAGAGGTCGAAGTAAATGCAATTGAAAATTTACATTGAGTGTCAAAATGTGGCTGAAACCTTAGGACCCCACATTGGTTACTAGAAAACATCGGAGGATTCTGTTAGCTAAAGAAATGTGAATAAAAAGTATTATGTGAATGCGAATAAAAGTACCAGTATATTAATATTAGAACTGGCAAACCTACGTGTAATTCAAAGCACTTGAAGAAAACCAATGAGAAATTTGCAATAAAGGCCCATGTACATCAAATCAACATAGAGATGCAACACTGACTTCAAACTTGAGTTCTGTATTCTGTATGTTCCAAAATGTTTACTGCTTGTAGGAAACTCTGCTTTCCTCCCTGTATTTGATCTTACAACAGCTGCTTTAGATTCCATTTTGCTCTCATACCCTGTCTGTCTGCATAGTTGCACTGAAATCGCCATCCCTCCAAAAAAACTTGCATTTCTGCTTACCCTCAGGGCACAGCGAGTTATTGAACAGGACCACAGGTGCCTTGGTGTTGTCACAGTAGTAACCGCTGGGGCAATCCTTGCAGGAGCCCTGGGCTGTCTCATCTTGGTAGTAGCCGGAGTCGCAACGGACTGGCTCGTGACTCCCACTGGGACAGTAATGGCCTAAGGGAGGACAAACACATGTAATAAATAAGTATTCAAAGCTGAGTTGTATTAGGCCAACATCACAATACCCCACAAGGCCAGCACAGGAAATCCACAGGGAATTTTAGTCACAAGCTGTTCAAATGATCTGCAACAAAAGAATTCCTCTGTCACTGTTCACCCTGTTTAATACTTGTGACTGGTTAAGTTGTATGGTATTGTATCTGGTCCTGCTTCTGGTCTTGTGGCTGATCTTGTGGCTAGTCTTGTGGTCCTCTGGCTAATCTAGTGGCTATTCATGTGGTCTTGTGGCTAGTCTTGTGACTGGCCTTGTGGCTGGTCTTGTGGCTAGTTATGCGGTCTTGTGTCTAGTCATGTGGTCTTGTGGCTTGTCTTGTGACTGGTCCTGTGGCTTGTCTTGTGACTGGTCTGTGGTTAGTCTTGTGACTGGTCTTGTGGCTAGTCGTGTGGTCTTGTGGCTAGTCTTGTGACTGGTCTAGTGGTTAGTCTTGTGACTGGTCTTGTGGCTAGTCTTGTGACTGGTCTAGTGGTTAGTCTTGTGACTCGTCTTGTGGCTGGTCTTGTGACTGGTCTTGTGACTAGTTTGTGCCTCATCCTGTAGCTAGNGTTTGTGCCTCATGCTGTAGCTAGGTTTTGTGACTTGTCTTGTGGCTAGTCTTGTGACTGGTCTTGTGGCTAGTCTTGTGACTAGTTTTGTGCCTCATCCTGTAGCTAGGTTTTGTGACTGGTCTTGTGGCTAGTCTTGTGACTAGTTTTGTGCCTCATCCTGTAGCTAGGTTTTGTGACTGGTCTTGTGGCTAGTCTTCTGACTAGTTTTGTGCCTCATCCTGTAGCTAGGTTTTGTGACTGGTCTTGTGGCTAGTCTTGTGGCTGGTCTTGTGACTGACTGTGTCTAGTTGTGCATCAGGTCTTGAGTATGGTCTCACGCACGGTCCTGTGTATGGTCTTGCACAAGGTCTAGTGTCTAGTCTCATGTCTGATTGAAGATCTGTCTGACTTCCTTGCAAAGGGTAAACTTGATGTGCAAGGTTTCTTTTTTTGGAGGAAGAGGGGGCTTACCTTCGGGGCAGCGATAATCAAATGGGTTTTCCACATTCTGACCCGGGGGGCAGTAGTAGCCATCGATACAGTCACCATCAGGTGCAGGGTTGGCCAAGCCTTCACAGTACATGCCCTGCGTACAGTCGTAGCAGTCAGTAACCGCTAGTGGAAAGAAGGAAATACCAGATCAAGGTTTCATTCTTGATGTATGACTAGATCCTGTATGATGAGTCTCAAGTACACTTCTCCAATGACAAGGGCATTTTCAATTAATCTCTTGACTGAAGTTGTATGCAGGCTTGGAGCCAAGTTGCTCACCCTCATTCAAACCCTGCAGCTTGAACAGTTCCGTTTGGAGGCTACAGAAACATAACAACAGTCTCATGCAAGGCCAGGGTGTGGCAAATTTGAGTTTAATTCGGCAGCCAAACATTGGAAACAGATTGTAGAGTTTGAGATGAGGCAAAAGACTGAAGTAAAGCTAACTCGCAAAAAACATGATTTTTTTTTCAGGCTGACGCTCTGAATTTTACTTCACAATGGAATTGCTGATTCCATTCATAAGAATGACTCATCACACCACAACGACAAAAGTGACTGAGCTGTAGAATTGGGAATGCTTTCAGTTTTGCTCCTCACCTTCATTTCCTGTGGTGTTGCCAAACGTCCCGCTGGGGCATGAGGTTGGTGACTGACTACCTTCAGGACAGTAGTGGCCTACTGGACAGATGTCACCTGAAAAGGAACCAGACCTCTGTTTTAATGTTTGAAGCCCATGAGTGATTTCTCATTTTGGCCCTATGCAAACATTTTGCACGAAGGTCACATTGTGTGTGCTGCCACATTTCCAGAAACGGTTTATAAAATGATTTTCTTTTAATTAACCCTAACAGTCCCAAATCCTCCATACACCCTTGGGGGTTAGGGATGCATCTGTGTTGAAAACCTTACCCGATGCCACTCCCACTGGAGCATTGACTGAAGCTCCACCCGAGCAGTAGTGACCCGCGCTGCAGTTGCCGCTCGGGTAGGCCAGTTCGGGGCTGCCGCAGTACATGCCGGGCAGGCAGGGCAGCGGCAGGGAACTGCCCAGGGGGCAGTACTTGCCCTCTTGGCACTGCCCACCCTCGGCGGCCAGCACTGGCTGGGCAAAGCGAGAGCCATTGCGGCAGTACCAGCCAGGATCACACAGGTCTGTGGGCCAGCTGAGGCCCGGGGTCTCGCAGTAGTACCTAAGGAGGCAGGAAGCAGACCGAGGTTGTTAATCTGGGGGGGGGGAATTCAAGTGACAACTATTCATCAACTGCTGGTCAATTTTCCCTGGTGCCCCGTGTGCAAATTACGTCCTGGGTACCAAGCAAAAGTTGGGCAGTGGTTGACAAATGGGCATTGTACCTGTAGAGAGGTGGACATGGCCCGTGTACATGATCTGAGGGTCTGGGCTGAGAATCTAGCAGCTGGTCATATGTTGTACCCCCCCCATTCCCCCTCACTCCTATTTTCCTCTCTCTGGTAAAGAGAACAGATTGGTATCTCCATGGCCTAGGAAGTAACCAGTGATGGACTGACATCCAATCCAGGGACCAGAATTGCAGCAATCTCATGCCAGTATGAACCAGTTCAGTATCTCCACACTTGCGAGTTGCTTTATGGCCATGAGTCATTTAGGGCAGGCACCATTGGAATACCGACTGCATTCTGAGGCTTGACTGATGATGAACCATGAATGAGAACTTATTGTTTGATTTAATTCAAATGATTTAAATCAATCAATTTGCTTAAAAATTTTTTTAAATCATTTTAAAAAATCACGTAACAGAAACCTTACAAGTAAATTCTTTGGGATATCTGAAAGGCAGAAATAGCTGAATTCAATATCCTGATGCTTTTAAAACATTTCCACACATCCAGAATTGCGCCATTTTGTGTATAAAGCTACTCTTTACACTTGTTTGACATTTCCATGCACAGGTGTACCCGATATACACGTACACCACTCTCCATTTTGTATGACTGCATGTCCAGGTATTTGTGGAATTCAATAGCCATCCATTTTACATGCATTTAGATAAAGCAGTACTGCCAAATAGCTTGAAATTGGAAGATGCATTCAATAAAGATTTGCAAAATGTTACATATTAAAGGCACAGCATATAGGAAGTACAGGTGTTTTATCCAAGTTAAAGACACTGATTTTTAATCATGTTGTTTTATCGTTGAAATTTCCATAAACAGTTTATTCAAACCAACAGTTTGTGTGTATTTAAACATACAGGTAACTGGACATGGCAAACTTTTGTGTTTGACTAGAAATAAACAGTTCAACATATGATAAACTAAACCCCAGCAGTCAGTAGTAGGTCAATTTAGTCACCGCATGGTATATAAACTTCAGGACCTAACACCGTCCTGGACAACTCATACAAAGATTGATTTCAAAAAAATTAATCTCAATCAAAAAAACGTTTTAAATAAAAAATCTGATTTTTTTTAAATCATGATTTTTACCAGCCCTGCAAGTTGAGGCTCATTGCTTCTTTGGACAATTAGTTTTCAAATCGAGAACACATTTATTTCAACAATCACAATCACATATTGAAGAATAAAAATTTAAACTCAGTACTGGTGTGCAAGACTTTATGCGCAGTACAAAAACTTAATTAAATATTAACACTTCTGGAGCAACATTTAAGTACAGGGTATCATAAATGCCTTGTTCCTTTGATCTTTGAATAAAAAAAAACTTGCAGGACAAGTCATAATTTTCTACACAGAAAGTTGCAGTACCAGTTGCCGAAATTAGAGAAAAATTAAATATTTGGAGCAACATGAAGCTAAGCAACATTTCTGAGAGAATATATGCAAACAAGAAGCTTCATACGGGGCACTGTGCATGTATGCAACATCATGATGAATTTTCTAATGTTGATGTACAAACCTCATGACAACCGCGAGATCTATCCAACACAGAGAATAGAAATTATTATAAAAAGCAAGGAATATAAAGAACTGAATAAACAATGCTACTTACGTTGGGAGACATTCAATACAGTCACCCAGTTCAGACCTTCCGGTCAAGTTATTGAAGGTCCCCTCTGGACAGGCATTGGCAAAGGCCGTTTGGGTTCCAGCCGGGCAGTAGTAGCCCTCTGGACATTCAGTCGGGTCAGTGGTCTGTTCGACGCAGTAGAAACCTGCTGGACACTGGATGCAGGCAAACTGACCGGTCAGGTTGTTGAAGGTCCCCGCCAGGCATTTAACAGGGGCATTTGCTCCGGCCTCACAGTAAAATCCTGTGGAAAGTGTAAAAAAATAATGCCAACAGCCTTTGTCACGTTTCAGTTCTTGAGGACTACATTTACGATACATTCTCTCACAACTTAAAACCTCCTCCAACGTTCAAAAAACCTGACTCAAAATTATTACCTACAAGTCCTCACAGTTTTGCATACTCCTAATAGCCAAAACTGCTTCTCTTGATTTTATGAATGCTGCCCATGGATGTTGCAAGGAGGGAGGGACACTTGTTCCCCCCCCAAAAAAAATGGAATTTTTTTTAAAGGAGGGGAAGAATTAAAGTAAAGAATCAAATTTCAGAGAAACAACAACTGGAGGAAAATGGGTAAAACTCATCAAGTTGCTTGACTATCCCTCAGAAACGACCCCCCTTTCATGCTGATGGTTCGTCAGGTTGCTGCTGGCGCTTTTTTGTCGTTATTCCCATGGAAAGTCCTTTCACCCCTTTCCTTCCAATACCCAAGATTCTGCTGTATTCCTCCCCAGCACAACGTTTTGCAGTTTCATCAGGAAATACACACATGTATATGCAACGTAAACACAACAGACCTATTCACCTGGAAGCCATTTGTGGTCTTACTCCCTGATCTATTGTATTCAGTGAAATCTGTTAAGGGGGGTAGTGCCAGACTATTTGGGGGTTCCATATGTGGCTTAAAACATGTAAATATAACTGATCACAAATTTTCAATTATTCTAAACATTAACCAGCAACAATTTGTCATAAATATCATGAACTTTAAGTTTGGTGCCCTTATATTCACTCTCTGGTTCCCGAAATGGAAAGTTAATTTCACTCTCAATGCAAAATGGCCGGCACAGGAATACTGTCTATTGGTCAATGGTTCCTGACCTGCTGGGCATTCTCCTCCTTCTGAGGGGTTGGTTGGCCGGGGGGAAGTGGAGCCCACCGTGCAGTACCAGCCAGCATCGCAGTTCCCGGCATCAGCCATGGCATTGTAATTGGGGCAATACTTGCCCGGCTCGCAGACTGTGCAGGAGTCATTCGAGGGCAGATGAGTGGATGCACTACACGTACCAGAGACAGGAAACCAGACTGTTATCAGTAAACTCCAGAGAAAGGATCCAGGCATTACTTTCAACGCAAGGGAGCAATTGTAGTAAAATGAAATATCTACAAACTAATCGCCAGAGGTTTTGAAGATCACACAGCAACACACATGTGCATACAATCTATGGCATGCATTTTTGTTTGCCTAGGGGCAACGTTGAATATATTCATTTCTTTATGTCCTACATCGACCTAAAAGAGATTAATTGTAAGATCCTTAATGACAAAAATCTTGAAATCAGGGAACACTCTGACAAATCTCACCCCTGGCTTAGGATAATGAGAGGAGATACCAAGGGTGCCACACATGTAAATCACCCATCCATTTGTATTTGGGCACAAATCTTGCATGAGACATCTGAAACACACATCCACGTGAGTTTGTTTTATACCAAAACGGCCCAAGGACAAAGCAGACCCAAATACTACAGGCTCTGTGAAGTTTGCATTGACAATTATTGAACAAGTTCCACATATCAGAGAGGTCCTCAGAGAGGTCAACCCTCTCTGAAAAACAAAATTACAAAGGTATTTTGGAGATAAGATCACAGCATTTCCTTCATTATTAGGAAGCGACAAAACTACATAAAATCTTTCGGTGTCTAGAACTGACTCGTACAAGTGTGCACGTGCAATAGGATACTAACACACAACAGAATGGCTGTGGTTTTCGTCAATTAGGATGCAAGCATGTAGCAAACTACGATCAAACAATCACATTTGCATACAGAATGTAGAGAAACTTTCATAGCCAGTCTTCTCAAAAAGTTTCACTTTCAAAGTGCCTGCCATCAGTGCTCTGACCTGAAGGTGCCAGGAGGGCAGGGGCTCGGATGGTCAGAGCCTTCTGGGCAGAAGAATCCGGCTGGACAGATGCCAAAGTTCGGATTGGTGGTGTCATCAAAGGGGCCTTTCTGGGTAGCCCCCTGAATGGCCCAGAACCCGGCCACAATGGGACCGGTCCAGCTGGGCTGACCAGGCAGCTCACAGTATTTGCCTGCCAAGGAAGGGGAAGATGTGGTCTTTAGTTTCATGACAACAAACACACAAAAGGTTTACGAGAAGGGCTGAGGAGCCTTATTGAATGAGGGGGACTCCCCAGCCGGATGCCCTACAACATAAAAATCTGACACAAAACATTTTTCAGTTAATCAATTAGTGCTCATCCCCGTCAGAACGGGGGTATAGGAGCCTCCTCAAGACCAGTTGACAACTGTGACAGCTTACTGAGCTTTAATGTGAGAGTTCTCATCCCAGAGTCATTATCCCATGAAAGTGCACTCACAATTTCTTGGAGGGAATTTTGTACGCTAGCCTCAATTCATGCGCATTTTAGATTAACATAAACTTCCCCGATGAAAGCACCTTGCCAACAACTGCACTTGACTAGTACTGACAGTAAACTGTAAGGTTACATAGGCACTGAAACATGAACACTGCGGGGTTCGTTAAATAACGGGTAAGGGCTAATAACACAGGTTTCAAACGGTGAACTTGTATTCAAGGAAAGCCAGCCAACAGGTCTGTCCACAGAGAGAAACGTGGCAAGAGAAGGCAGGTGTGGGTATTCTGAGGGGTTGCTTACCTCCAGGGCATATGGCGCACTGTGACTCCGCGTGTAGCTGGGTGCGATTCCCAAATGTTCCCACCGGACAGTCTAGCGGATCTCTGTTGGAATCATCACCACCCAAGCAGTACTGGCCTGAACATCGGCAGAACAAATGATTTTGGTTGAAAGATTGCACAGCGAAACTTAGCTTTCGACTAAAATCATCCCACATGTGGTAGAACCATGGTAGCAGGACAACTGCAGTCAATACTCATGTGAACGGCATGTGCGAAGGTAAGTGTTTTTAAAGTCACATCTATCACAGGTCCCTGTGTGTCCATCAAAACAGTCTTAAGCCTACTGATAAGCTGTGCAACTGAGTTGCAGCAAAAAAGTAGTTGTGAAAAGGACTAACTTTGTCTTTAAAACAAGGGACTAACAAGTGAAGGGAGTAGTAAAATGGTTGAAATGCTACCATTAGCTATCCCCAAAAATGGCAGCCGACAATACATTCAGCCGACCACACTTTCTAACGATCAAAAATACAGGATGTTGCATACCAATATAACAAGGAAGAAAGTTGATACAAACTCAGCATTACGGCGCCTTTTCATGTACATTTTTTGGGTGTGTAGCATATAAAAGATGGGTTCACGCGTTTCACTTTCACGGACACAAGAACTGACTCCTATGCACACAGGGAACGTGTGCGTGGTGTGCTAGGCCGTCAACATTGCCCCAGGAGCGATTTTGACGGATAAGGAATGCTTGGTGCAAGAGTTGACATGCATACGGAGAGGTGACTTCAATACGGCCGTTTCATAATAGTGCACCATCAAGAGTTTGCAATGCATTGGCCAATCACAATGCTCAAAATTTGTCGGCCAAATGTGCGTTTGGAAAGGGTCGACAAATTTCGCACGTTATGATTGGCCAGTGTTGCAAACTCTTGGTGGCGCACTATTGTGAAACGGCAGTATTGTTGAAACTGGAGAACGACCACAGGTGATACATCCTGAAAGCAATGCTACATATCAGAACTGTCAGTACGAAAAATGAATTTAAAACACTTCATATTAAAAACTTACCTGTTCCATTAATTGCTTTTAGTTATTGTTTCTTGTGAAGCGCATCAAGACTATAGTGTGATGCGCTATATAAAAAGTGCGTTGTTATCAGATTTATTATTACAAAAATATGTAATACAATACTGCTGCAACCTGCTTGCTGACTACAGTGGCCTAAAATACGAATCTCAAGATATGGAGGGCCTGACGTTTCGATCCTAGCAGAATCTTTCTCTTTCTCACAAGAAAGATTCTGCTAGGATCGAAATGTCGCACCCTCCATATTTTAAGATAATTATTATTATTTCAATGACAATTGCTCCATGTAGTGGAATTTCATATCCAGCATGTTTCATTGAGAAAAATATGAGGGGAAGCTGGGTTTAGGCATCAAGGTCTGAGCCCAAGCCAGCTTGGTGTCTCCATACCTTGAGGGCATTCCACGGGGTCAGCGTCGGGTGCGCAGTAGAAACCTGGCTCACAGGACTTGCACGCCGACAGGCCCTCGATGTCCGAGAACGTGCCCTGTGGGCAAACAAACTCCTCCGCTGTGCCTCCGGGGCAGTAGCGCCGCTTGGAGCAGATGTGGCCGGTCACGTTGTCTGTCGGCATGTCCTGCATTGCGCCACCCAGGCAGACATAGCCGGGGGCGCAGTCGCCTGGAACAGGGAAGGAGGAAGTCTGTCAACAACTTGGCGACAGTGTCACATTCTCCAAAAAATGTCTACATTCCATAAAAAGGAAAAATGAGCATGTAGTCACCAATATTTGATCTACAGCCAATTGCCACAAAGTGTCGCCAAGTGAAAGGAGCTACATGTATTTGAATCACATTTGATGGTGACCTAAAATATTTGTCAACACTCTACCACAGAATGGTCACACGTTTCCACTATAAGCCACGTGTACAAAATGAAGAAAAAAATGGTTTGTTTGAACACCCGGAGGCAAAGTTAAGGTGCACACCATGTTCTTGTTCATCAGCCGCACCTGTATTATACAGATTGTGTTTACCTGCCCTCCAAATAGGTTATTGAGGATAGGACCTATGACACCAGGAACCTTTCCTAAAATCAACACAAATAATCTTTATGTTGATTTATGGGCAAAGTGCTCAATGGTACTGGAGCATTGTCTTTAACCCCTTCATGCCCGGAGCCGTCCACAGCCGCAGCTCTGTGTGAGGATTAGTGCATGCCACACGTACATGTACATCTTATTCATCGTGCAGCTGCTGGTTCAATGCCGGCCTGCAGCTGGACAAAGCTTTGCATACAGGGCATACCGCAGCCCAGCAGTCACGGTCAAAAGAATCCCGGTGTGAAGGGGTTAATAACAAAGATTGGGAAAACTACGGCTTTTGAGATGTCCCGGTAGCTTGTTATTAGAAGACAGTATGTAATTGATAGAAATCAACCTTTAGGACAGTTCTTGGAGAACGACAAATCTACAAAGTATGCATTACTTTTGTGATTTTTTTTGTACATGGCCAAAAATAGACCCAATTTTTTTTTAAAGGGTAGCCAGAATTTCCTTTTGAGACCACCACATTTCAAACTTTGTGGAGTCAGGTTGGTGTAGCAGTTCTTTCCCCGCCTTCTACCTCTGTGGTCCGGGTTCAAATCCCGGCCCCATGTACATGTGGATTAGGTTTTCAGTACTTACCTGATTCCGTGGGTTTTAACCAGAACATTCCTCTGGGATTTTCCTCCCACCTCAGGCTTCTTCATGCGCTTGCAAGCTACAGTGCCTAGGAGACTTTTGAGGAATCCTTGGTGTCATTACCAGAAAGGAATAATAAATATTTCTTCATGCAGCCTTTTATGGCCGTTCCGAGTAGTGAAGCTACAATTGCGATCTTTTTCAATACATTTGGGTGACAAGGAGGCAAAATAATCCTTAAAATTCTCATAATTTTCATGAACAAATTTTCCACTCCCTTTTGGAGGGGAAGTCATGGCCCCCAACCCATCCACCAGTGAATGCTACTGTTGCATAATCAGATCTCATTATAGCATTACACCTACCTGACTCCTCAACTGCCCCTGTGTGGTCGCAGTATTTGCCCGCTCCGCACGATATGCACTCATCGCGAGACCTCGCTCCCACAAAATTGAGGTAGGTTCCCTGGGGGCACTCCTCCATCAGGGTGGTCCCTTCCACACAGTAGTGGCCCCTGGCACACTGGTCTCCCCAGGTGATGACTACTTTACCTGCAAGGTACACACGATTGGTAAAGAAATACGACTTGGGATGACTGGCAAGTTTGCAAAGCGAAACAAATCCTGATGCGGCAGACAGAGGGGGACCTGCAGCTGGCCAACAGACGACGGGGTGACGTCAAGAGCCTGGCAGAGAATCCAGCATGGTGGAGTGTGAATTGCACTAGGCGGGCACACAACACAAGCCCAACTCTCATGGGTCCATTCATTATGTAACTGTCGCTATTTTTCATTGTGTAAATGCAAAAACGTCGTATCTCGGTTTCAAGTAGTTATGAGAAAAATAAACAATTTGGTTTGTGGCCTCCCAGTAAATTTTTGTGCTGAAGAAAATGAATTTACAATCATAATTCTTTTGTTCTGGGCTACAGTATCTCGATTAATTTGAAACAAAATGATTTTGGAAAGGAACAAGAATAACGCACAATGTTTCCACTTGAATGACACACCATGCATATTCTGCTCAAAATATCGTAACTCACTGAGATGGAACATTTTTGCACAAACACACTGCAATCATCCATAACTAAGAAACCAAAGCACACTAAATAACTAAATCTTGTAAAGTTACAAATCATTATTATCGAAACCCGCACTCTACCCGGCTTTGAGTGAAATTTCCCTCATCTGACTGAAGCCTGACGTTAGAACATTCTGCAGCATCTGAATCACTAGCACAAGGTCTTTTTTTCTATATTGCGGTATTTCCCATAAAATGTCCATTTGTTTTTTTATGTATTTTCTACTTAGATGCATGTTTTTAAAATTCCAACTGAAATATACTAGCACAAGCTTTACCCTAGCTTCACTTCACACTGCACACTATTTAACAGAAGACTTTTTAAATGAACAGGCTACTTTTGTCAGGTTCCTGAAATTTTAGCACAGTTTGGTTTGGGTGGACATTGAAAGTGTCGAAAGTGCAGGGTTCGAAATTCTTGACGGCCATGACGGCCAGTGATGTCGATGCCTTTTTACTTGTCTTGATGCCCCTCGAAAATTGCATAGTCCACAGCCACTTTTGCTGTGCCCTTGGCACACTTTGGCCGTTGCGCCCTTTTCAGTGAGTTGTCAAAAAAATTAATGATAAATTCAGCGCAGCGCTTGCGCTCGCCGGCCGCGCCGGTCGGCAAGACCATACCAAGAGCAATCGGGCTTGCACAGCCCGCACGGTATACGGCCACATTGCCTTCACTCACGCAAACGCGTATATTAACAAAATTTCTTAAGCAGCGAGCTGTTACTATAGGCATGTGCAACCCGTTCGTTACAGGACAAGCAACGTGTGCGCTACATGGACCGTCCAGAGGGGGTGGCGTTGACTGTTCAACTTCATGTAGCAATGAACATCATGCATGATAGCAAGCACAAACCCGCACCCTTACGGATTGCTAAGTGCGGTGTCTCATAATGCATTGCTGCATACACCACTATTGCACACTTTGGCATTGATCCGCTGCACGTGTGCAAGCACAAACCCGTACCCTTATGGATACGTCTATCTAATCGGAGTATCCCATAATGCATTGTTGCATATACAAGTACATGTACCACCAGTGCACTCCGCATTGATCCGCGTCACGTATAGTACGTGCTTCAAGGGACACAGACCAGCCACGTGGAATTGAAGTTTTCCTATTGCTACCTGCCCGCTGTCAGTTTGTACGACACGCAACAATGCCTCGGAAAGAACGTTTGAAACGTTCTTTTCAAAAGGAGCTCTGCAACTCGGCTACAAAATGCAAGAAATTGGATTTTTTATGCATGGGTAAGTGGTGGTGTCACCGTGTGTATCTTTGAGATTGGCAATGTTGGCGGCACCGTGATTTCCCGAAATCTGTGCCGGGTGAAGATGCGCCCACGCCAGCAATGCAGGCATCCAAATATATCTCCTGCCTGCATTGCTGGCAACAAACACATGATTGACAAAATAGCTTAGTGAAATCGTTGCTGTCACCTGCAAAATATCTAACTGTTACTGCTTTTTTTTAAAATAAAACTTAGAATGTGAAAAAATATATACATTTTCATCAGTATTTGGTTCTAGCATTGGATTATTGTGTTTTCACCCAAATTTCATGTAATGCTAGAATGCTGGCCATGTCTTTATCTTCCATTTAATACTGGTATTTATGACCATATGACAGGCTCTCAACCAATAGTAATGGCTAAACTGGTTTGCATATGAAGTGCAGTAAATGATGGACTGGAAGAGTGACATTTTAATTTTTTTTTCATTTTCAGTATTAACAGGCCATTAGCTAAAAAGTAAAGGGTAAAAAAAAGTAAAAGGGCATCAGAACTTGTTAACCATTATTGCTCTTATTTTCATGTCAGGGTGGGAAGCCTAAGGGGATGGCAGGGTTCTTGGATACAATGTAAAATATTCAGCTAGTAACTTGAAAGTCTAGAAGTCAACAAAAGGGATGCGCACACATTGTCAAACCTGGTGGTAGGTTTTGACTGCTTATTGGAAATTTGCTCGTGTGTCAACTTTTTCCCACAATAAAACAAAGAATGCATTTTAGAGGTTGAACAGATTGTGTTTTGAAAAATTTGCCGTTGGGCCCTGATCAATTTTCGACAATGGCCTCCGTGCCCTTTTTAGTGGCCTTGGTGCCCCTGGAAATTTTGACTTCTCCGAGGCCAAAATGGCCTAGGCCCCTAAAAATCGAATTTCGAACCCTGAAAGTGCTGGTTACAAAAACAATATCGGTTAAAATGAAGGGTTTGGACGTGCTCCACAAGTTTTTATTTCCTGAACTAACCGTCGGAGGAGTCGTTGTTGTAGACTGGCGTGGCAAACAAGGCATTGCCAAAACAGATGTGGCCGGCCGCGCAGGGCGCGGTCCGATCAGTACCCCCGTTCTCACTGCAGTAGTAGCCTGGCTCGCAGTCCGTGCAGTTGTCGATGTGTGTCTGGTGGGTGTGGGGGGAGTAGGTGCCAGTGGGGCAGAGCTCAAAGGTGTAGGCACCCTCGGAGCAGTACTGACCTGAGGGGATCAAAAGATGAAAGGTCAAACAGGCACGGAGATAGGCTTGGGAAGGCAGTGGGTAGCTGTGTGCACATATTTGGTGTTTAAAAGTAGCAAGTCAAACGGAAAGTCCAATGCAACACATGAAAGTAACAGGGAGCCCTCAACTACCACAATGTAACCATTTCCATACTGACACAGGGCAGGTGATTTTATTTGCACCAGGTTGAGGTTAACCCCTCCACAGC